CCAGGACATCTGAAAGAGCTGCACCGGGATTCTGGATAGGTAACTTCATCTAATCACATTCTCATGATAAATAGACAACTTTCCTTTCTGGGCATATATAAGAACACTTTTGAAAGCTACATATCCCAAAAGAAAATGAAGATTGTGTTGTATAATCTAAATTAAAGGCTATCATAAATCACAGTGTAAGCAGATTTTTTTTAAAGATTATTTTTAGAATGTTTAAGTTACAGACAGATTTTAAAAGACTATGCAAAAATAAGACCAAAACAACAAAGGAACACTTTGAGGCTGGACAACACCACACTCTGCCAAACAGATCTATCCAGGTGGCCAAGTGGCTAACAGGGAAAACATGCCACGAAAGACTCTAAATGTCATTCAGAGAGTTCCTGAATATTTGTATAAATTCATCTTTAATCAACTCCCACTGTTAAAACAGAAAGAGGAATATGGCGTTAATTTGAACAAAGCATTTTCAAGCATTTTGTTGTACCTATTTCAGTTTTGTTTTTAAATTCTTACTTTTGTTGCATTTAACATTCATACACACAAGATCTCCACCCGCACAGGCAATCTGAGCTTTGCTGGCCCTCCAAACCACCCATTATTTTATGCCCTAAACAGCAAGAACTACGTACCCAGTTTTCAGAAAATGCTGTTTGATGGCTCTACTCACTTCAGTGGGACTGAGCAGAAAATAATCTGAAACTATCCTTTCTTCTAGACACAGAGAGCCTGTCTGGTGCAGTACCTATGTCCTGCACATCTCTGTGAACCAACTACCACACTTCAGCTTAGCAGAAGTTATTTGATAATCACGCTGATTCGTCAATATACCTCAGCTTTAAGATCCACCATTAGCAACACTGGTGTAGAATCTCTCCAACTGTATTACACAGCCAGACTTAAGTACTTTTACTACTGATTGAGTGTCTCTACAAAGTGCAGAAGCAATCTCTCCTTCTGCAGTTGGGGATTATTTATGTTCACATATAATTATGAAAGCACTTACTAACAATAAAGCTTGCGTTTCTCTCCTCACCTTTTTATCACATCTCAAAATTTATGAGATTGTGCCTGACTTTCTAGTTATCTGAAATACCTGCAGATGCTTGAATCCAGAGCTTTCAGCATAAACCCTGTTCTTTGTGCTCTGATTTACATGTACATGTTTCAATTTACATGCTGTGTAGTATCCCATCTGAGTAGGAGAGCATATGTTATTTTCTACACTACTTGAATTGTTGTGGGTTTTTTTGTTTGGGTTTTTTGTTTTGGGGTTGTTTGTTTTGTTTTGGTTTCTTTTTTCTTTATTTTTATTATTATGCCCCCAAAACATTATTCTTACTTATGTCAGTTTGGTTCCCTCCCCCCCTAACAAAAAGAACAAGTAGGAATGTTTACAAAGTTGTCATGAGAGAAGAAAATGATACAGAACGACTAAGAAGAAGTGAGGGGGCGGGGGGAAGAATCATATTAATAAAATCACATATTAGGTAAGCATTTGCTGTACCTGCACATCCCCAAAATGTAAAAAAGGTGACAATTAGTAGATTTGTTTAGGGACCTTGAAGTTAATGGAAAACTAGTGGTTAATTCACTCGTAACAGTCCACATGCAGCGTGTAGCAGGTCAAATCTCCTGCTGTGTTCCACAGCACCTTAAGAAGCAGTAAGTCTGATGCATCAGAAGAAGGTGATCATCATATTGTACAAAATAATTCACAGGGAAGGCAAGTTAAAATAAGGTTTCTCTGAGGAAGACTGAAAAAATGTCCCCAGTTTTCCCCTCTTCTTTCTAGAATCAACAATGAAACAATTCTAGATCATGAGATGCACATATGCTGAAGCCTATGAAGAAGCACCCCACGTTACTGATTTAAGTGCACATGTAAGAGACGTAAGCAAACGATGAGAAATTGCTTCCAAGGCACAGCTCATTGCTCATGCTGTGCTTCTGAACACAAAACTATGATGAAAAGCACAGAGTGAAACATAGGCATCAAATCTCTGGAGTCTGTACCTTGTCTTTCAGAGAAGGCAGAGGTAGATGATCTCTCATCCTCTAAACATGAGGCTCCTACAGAAAAGCTCACACAGAAGCACATGCCATATGCCAGCTAGCTTCCAAAGTCCCAGGGGAAAGAATAACATTTCCCCCAACACATCCATCCCAAACATCATAAGCTACCATAAAACAGTACTATAAAAAAAAGGACACAGTATTCTTATCTTCCCTCTGTTGAAGCAGACACAACACAGATCAATGAAGAAGGCTTAAAAAAATTAAAACATAAGATAGATGAGGCATAAATAAACAAAATGCAAGGAAAAAGTAGAGAGAGAAAGAAGGAATCAACTTTACAAAGAAGCAATTAAACACTCAAATCAGTTCTTAATTACAGGGTTTAGAAAATCCTATTGTAGGCACTTTCCACTTCATTACATGATCCTATGATGGATTTGAACCAAGGCTGACAAAACTGATCCCACACAGCATAAAGAGGAAAACATCTTATTAACAACTCTATACAGTAACTATTATGCTGTTGCTCCAATCATATCTTACTGTTTAGTCCTTTGATGTCTGTGCATTGGTTGCACAATTTATAGTTTCTTCTGCACACACAAATACATGGAGATTGCATATCTGAGAGCTTAGTTTGAAAAAAGAGGACAAATCAGAACCATTACAGTTTTGAGCATCCTGTTCCTACAAGTCTCAACTGTTTGATTTTTATTAACAATGGGTTTTGAGTCCCTTTATGGAACTAAACAGCACTCATAAGGACCGAAAGGAATTATCTCTATGTGCTCAGGAACTACCAGACTAACTGGCTGTGAGAAGCAATTTAATGTCACTTTTCTAAGCAAGCTTCAAATTAAAAAAAATATCTACACTGTTTTCTTCCTTCAGAGTTTTTTTTTCTTTTTATGATGACTGCAGTTTTAAAATATTACCTCTTCAATACGCCATGTAAAATCAGGTCTGGGGAAAGAATCAACTGAATATATATATAAATGATCTTAATGTTTCAAATTCAGCTGTCTTTCACAACTATTTAATTTTCCCTTCTCTATAATCCAAATAGTAAACAATGTCTCCATAGAGTAATAAATGTTTAAGATTTTTAGAAAGTATATACTGTACAACACTAAAACCATCTTTGGTCCCAAAAATACGGAAATTACAAATTTACATTTGTTTTTGTTTTACAAAGTGTATCAGATAGCATTTTTAAAATTAATATTCTCTCTGAATTCTACCCAAAAGCTGTGCTAAGCTCAAGTAAGTAATATGTAAGTGATAAATAACAGCCTTCTGTTCTCAGCTCAAGGAAACATTTCACATGCAAAAGCACTCAAGGTCATTCAGATGCACCACACTACACTGTATTAGAAGTGTATCACTGTATCACTCTGCATTTGTCATTCCAGCTAAAAGGTAACCAAAGCTTTTCAAGATCTCATGATCAGAAAAAGCTGGGTGATGTTGCCAAGGATAGGTGCAAGGATTTGGAAGAGACCACATACATAAGCTTATAGATGCATGAGACTTCCTACACCTCTGGAAAAAGCCAGAATCAGCACAGGGAGTACAGGAAGGGAACAGGGTGGCTTCTTATGTACACACCATTTCAGTCCTTGTTAACCATCAACAGGATATGCTCCTAATGAAAAGCCTTTGCTATGCATCACTTATGTTTCTTGATTTCAGATGAGGATTCCACGCTAAAAGCGTGGATCTGTTGGAGGACAATGTTCTGAAAGGTTCTCGTAAGTCACTGACACTGCCCATGAACTCTCATTGCAACCTTTGCCAATATTAGTCAGAGTGCTGATAAACAGCAGGGCTGTAACATCTGCACTGGCAATAACAAACTTTGTTATTTCATACCACACTGAACATGCAGCTGTCATTTACTTCTCTGAAACACACAGTAATCCTGGTAAGACATCTCAGTAAAATGTCTCTATTCTAAACTCAACACCAGAGGTTGGCTTTTACCATTCCATCTTTTTTTCTTTTTACACTGGTGTTCCCTTTGGCATTAACTTTCAAGAAGCACAATAAAATGTGTCTGTAGTAACTGGTGAACCGTTAGTCCTTAAGAAAATGCAAAGTTTCTTTTACCTCATTACTAATTATTTCTGAAGTCTGATCCCTACCTTAGCCACTAAGGTGAAATGCACTGCAGACATTAGTAAAATGAAAACAAGAAGACATCGGTTTTGTCACCGGTTTTTCACACATCAAATTCTCTGTTGCTTGATTCAAACATTGCAGCATTAGGTTCATAGCTGTTACTCTCCATTCCCTCTGGTATTAAAAAAGCCCAGAAACTTCTACTGACCTACTGTTAAGTATAACCTGGTTTTCACATTTGTAAGTGACCTATTTGCCATGTACTGCTGTTTGCTCTTGTCTATTCAATCACTTAAGAAAACGTCTACACAAGAATACAATGCAAAAAGTGTCCAGGCCAAACATGAGATGGATTCAGGCAGACAGGGGACACAGTTCTGCTAATTTTGAGAGATTTCAGCAGCTTATACCAGGAAGGAATTCAGCTCTATAGCGATCTTCTCTACCACATATATTCCTCCTGTAACACGCCTGCATGCATATGCCAAATAATGCATTACATCGATAAAAAACACCAATCAAATAAAGCCCAGAAAAATATCAAGGGACATCTTCCTAATAAAGTCATGATTTTGTCTGACCAACTCCTGCACAACTTCAGTTCTGAGTAGACAAAATATCATTCTCTTCACTGGAAGTACAACTAACAAGAAACTTACAGTTAAGTAAAACTATTTCTGAACAAGCCAATACAACTGTATTATCCGTCAATTAACTCATTTTCCAAAGAAATATTAGGAAAAAAAATTGGAGAAATACCCAATTAAAAAGAAAATCAACAACAAAAAAAACACCTTTAAAAATTCTTTTTACCTACTACAGACAGTTTAAATTTTAGCAGAAGCAATCAGCCTTCCAAAAAAGGACAATATTTATATTGCATGAATCACAATATTGAAACCTTAGAAACACACTTTGTAAGCTCATCATAATTCGTTGCTGGTTCTTGCTCACCCCAGGCTCCTCAGACATGATGAGCCTTAAAAAATAAAATTAGAAAAAAAAAAAAAGCCATAACTGGAATGCAAATTTATTGGATGACAACCTCTTCTTTCTATACTGTGCCCTTCAAACCCCTTTTCTCCATCCTACCTCCCAACCATATTTACCTCCCTATTTCAGAATGAAAAATAGAATGTATCCCAACATTTGCAGAAAACCACATACCTGCATTTGATGCATTATGGTGACCATTCAAGAACCTTGCTAACTTTGCACAAATTCATGCATGAACCGAATATGGCAATTCTAAAGTAATCCACAGAGTAACTACCTCAACACTACATCCACCAAACAAAAAAATGGGAGGTGGTTGTCCATTTCGGCTATATAACTGCACCAAGAGTGAAACTGCAGGAGACAAGAACTGAACTGCACTGCTGAGGGCTGCATGAGGATGGATACCGAGAGTTGGCTGGACATAATAACATGGTTAAAGTTATTGCTATTTGCCCTTCACCTCCTTTTAGCATGTATTAGATTTTCTTTTGGTGGTTTTCTTTCCTATATTAACCAACCAATGCAGTGCTGGTCTTAGTGTCTACAATAGGTGAAGAAACAGTGGCAGAACATGTATATTCAGAGCTTGCACTTGGGAGAGGGAGGAAAGTACTGTGCAGTTAATCCAAAACAATAACGTACTTCAAAACTTATATATTATATAAGCTATATAATATATGCATACATATGTGGGCATCTTAAACAGATCTTGCTTTTGAATGACCAACATTTACTGCCTTCATGACAACAGCTTCTAACTCAATGCACTTCTGCACATAATGCAGGGCTGGGCATTCTTTGCCACCATCTGATCTTCCTTTTCCTTCTTAAATAAAGACAAAACCCTTTGTTCCATGAGGGAGTTAAGCATGTCTTTTCCCTTTGCAGTCCCATTTGAATGTTGCTTTCATGCATCCAGACGCTGAATCTCAGGGTGATGATCCACTTCTCTGGACTCTGTCCGAGCACGTATGTAATCACTGGTCTGCCGACTACTTTGTTGCCTGCTGTTCATTCGCCACTTTTTAACAGTTAAGTATGTGTTCACAGCATACACTGCCGTTGCCAAGAAACCAAATATCTACAAGAAGTAGAAAGAATTGTCAAAGACATTTCTGAAAACAAGAACAAGAGTAGTTTTGCAACAAATTCCTCAGAAGCTTAGTTTTCTACTTTATTTGCACTGACAAATCACCATGGTCTGTAAAAATTGATGTTTCTTCAATGAACAAAAAAATCTGCAGAAGTGACCAAGATCAGTGACCAGAAAACAAAGTTCTCAGTCTACAAACACAAAATATACAACAGCATACAACAAATATACAAAGAACACAGCCCTTCGTCCAGCAGTTCATTCCACAGGGTGAAAACAACAGTGAATGAATTACAAGAGAAGAGATGACCAGTCCAGACCATTAGTCTGCAGAAGGAGCTAATTAGCTGTGGTGTGATTTTCAACATCCAGGTTTGAAAGGGTGGGGAGAATAGAATAAAAAAGTTTCCAACTCAAGCACAGAATTAATTTGCTTGAACTTACTGGATTTAAATCTTTACTAGATTTAAAATGTTGAAGTACTACTATACTCACTCCACAGAACAAAAGTGGTCTGTAGTGAGCAAGAAGAATCAGCAAATTATGTGTAAGGAGCTCCAATTTCTTGTGAATGTCTGGCTCTATCTTTTCTGTAGGCTTGCAATATAGAGCAGTATCATCTAAACTGGCTACAGAGAAAAAAGGCAAGCTTAACTGCTAAAGTGATCGCTGCAAGTCAGTTTTCTGTTTGTCCTTGCGTCAAGCCTTAAGACAAACAACTCAAAGGATGTCAGTGCTTTTTAAATCCGAATTATCTTATAGCCAACTGCAAAATGAGAAATAAATTGTAATGTCAAAGGCAACAGAAGCATTCAATGAACATGAGGAAAAGTTATTCTTAGATTTAACAGATGAGTCATATATAAAGAAGTTCAAACTCTTACCACAGCAGCAATTTCTGCTCCAGTTTTATGGTTTAAAGCAGCAAGTACTACAGAGGCAATGAAAAAGAAGAAAGTGCTGAGTCCAGTGTTGACCAGATCCTAAAAAAAATAAATTCATTAGCATTACTAAAGAATGATTCTTTGCTTGCTTTTATTAGAAGTGATGAAACAGAAGAAGGTTAAAACAAGAACTATAGGAATACTTTCCCACTTTCTATGCAGTTTACCACTCATACAAAGAAAGGCAAAGCTCATTACACAGGAAACGTAGCATGTGTACACATCAGTCTGTGAACAGCAGTCACATACCATGTACACATAAAGCACCAGTGCAGATTCTGGATGAGTTACTTCAATTTCTACAGGGTTTGTTGGAAAAGTACTGTCAACATAAACAACGAGTAAACCTGTTCCACCTCAGCGGATGCTGAAGTAACCTCAATATCGAACCTTAGCACTCAAGGAACTCTTTGTTCTCATTCATATCACAACAGTGCTCCATGCACTGCCCAGATAACTGTCAGGAATCTTTCTACCAATTCTTTGAGGCCTTCACTGTAGAAGACTGCATGTCCCACACCACTTCTATAAGTAACAGCTGCCCTCTGAGAATACACAGATTTTTATGTATTTATTGCTTAAGATTAATGTTTCAAGTAGACATTTTATATAAGAAGCACAGCAACACCCCATGGCACCTATGTTCAGGGAAAATCCTTTGCTCCACACACACACAAGAATGACAAGCAACATCCAATTCAGTTACACATAAGCTGCTAATGTCAGTGTCTTTGATGATTATGTTGCTGTAGCTTACATAAAGCAGCATCATTAACATGTCATTGGAACATAAGTAAGAATTCTGAATGTCCACTGTGCAACTTAACATTTTGAGTTGAAGAAAAAAAAACCCACAACAAAAACACGCTGAACATGCCAACTCCCGCCATCAAAAACAAAATCCCATCAGCCCCCTGATTAGTATTCAAGGATACATCTATTCTACTTGATTCTCTTCTTTCACATACAAGCCAGGCTCACTTCCTGCTCCTACTCCTCCACTTACGACAAGCAGAATTTGTTTTTTTGTTCTATTTCATTTTTCCCCAAAGTGCATCCTGTAAAGTGCTGTAAGAAGTTAGGCACAGAAAATTGAAGGTACAAACCTAAACTTATTCCCTGGGTATGAATCCCACAGCTGTGTTCCAGCTACACAGCACAAAGACTTTGAAAGACCATTGTCATCCAACCACCCCTAAAACATCTGTTTTCTGTGCCATGATTGGAGAATGCTTTAGAAAGTAATTACAAAAACCTGAGCTTCTGGTGCTATGTTATTTACAAGGAAAGCTATCTATTTTGAAGGTACTGACCCAGGGACAGCTGGTTAGCACAATTAAGTGTGCCAGGCAATAAGATGTATGTTGTACCACTGTGGCCTAATCCTCATCTAAAAGGGGGACCTTTCCAAGAAATCTGAGAGACTTCCATTGCTTATTGCTATTTCCACAGATGCGTTCAGATTTCATGAGCCCAGTAATAACCGAACTGTCTTCCCAAATAGTAAGGGAACAAAAGCAAATTGTGGGTCTCAAACTCCTACCATCTGTATACCTGCCAGTGTATAATTAGAGAAGTTTTTTCTCTCTGTTCAAGCTTACCAAGATAGATATTATCTGGTATTCACAGCATTAAAAAAAAATTAAAAAAATTATGAAATAGTTATTGTAGTTTTAACTTGTTTTGCAGAGATAAGAAATAGAGATACCAGAAAATAAATTGCATTTTACAGTTTTTCCAAGTATTCTATTCAACTTCAAGTTCAGCAGCTCTAACTGTGCCTCTGGGGTTGCCAACAAGAGCTGTGATTCTCATCTGCACAAACCTTTCCTCACTAGAGGGGAAATTTCATTATACCTTACAAGAGACACCAGGCGCAACAGGATTCAGCATTTTCATCAAGTCTCTAGCGTAAACATGCATGTCGCCACGAATGTTGAAACTAAATACTGAGGAGAGGGCAGCTACACTCTTGAATAATTAAAACAAAAATAATTAAAAATTAGTTTAGCCCAAGGTCAAGTTGTGTATTTTACTGCCAGGGTACATCTGTCACCTACAGGTAAGACCTACAGAATGGAGACAAAATCCTGGAAGAAAAAGGTTGGAAGAACTCAGTAATTATGGTAGGTAAGCACTTCAAGAGGTGATGCCATGGCCAAAAAAAAGGGAAGAAAAAGTACTTATACACTCCTTCGGACATATGGACACGACAGGTGTAAGGCTGTAATCTTACCTGTGCAAGTAACATTGCAATGCTGCGTCCTGCAGTCCTGTGAATTTTAAAAATTCACATTTTTAAAAGTATGTTGAAAAATTGGACAGGGTACAGAGAAGAGCCACAGAAGTTATTTGAAAGGAGGAGACAGTTTCTGACAGTATGAATCAAAGAACTTAAACTGCTTTGAATATTAATAAGGTTGAGCTATGTACACGAAGACTTCAGTGTTTCAGCAACTAAAAAAACACTTTGTTTTCAAAGTTTAACATAAAAAAGCACAACAAATTTAACAGTATAGCAAAATTAACTGCTGCAGAGTTAAGATGAATCATACTCAAAATGAAGTAAGTTTTAATTTTAAGGGAACTAACCATCAGAACAGAGATGTGCTTACTTTCCACTTCTTCACTTCTTGTAATCCAGATTGGTTTTTCAGACTTTCTGTACTTCCTTAGTACCACACTTAAAGACAGCGGTTGGCACATAATATACTATAATTTATGAGGTCAGATGTGCTTATTAATTCATTCTGTTAACTTCTGACTTTCTTAATCCATTAGCTTAATTACCTTGTCAGAGGAGAACAGTAGAAGACAGACAGCCTGACCTTCCCACAACAGACATTATCACTTATCTCCATGGTATGAATCAACTCAAAGGCTTCATGTAAGAAGTTTGAGATACCGCCGAGTATGAAATACTGCTGAAATTAGACTGCTGGTGCCTTTGTCACGATTCTTACAGGAAACCAAAGACATCAGTACATTAGAAACTTCGTCATCATTACCTGACATTCTATTTAGTTGCAATCTTTATGAAGAATATTAAATTTGTCCTTGCAAAGAAACCAACTGCAATTCCATTTTCCCTGTTTAGATCAAACCTTTTTAATGCAATTAACAATCGAATAACATTCATGCAATAGGGGTCATTTCTTAATAACCCTTAAGCTAAAACTAACATATCTTTCATGTCCACAGATCAGATTGATAAATATCATAAGCTCCAAACAATAACATCCTCATACAGATATATAATGGTAAGAACTGAAACAAAGTATTAGTGGAGGTTTTTCACCCAAAATTTGGTATTAAGACCAGAAAGATAAAAAAAAAAAATACAGTGGTTTTGGACAAAGTGAGAGCAAAACCAAAAAGGAGTGACCTACAGAAAGAATTCAAAAAAAAAAGGACACTCCCTAAAAATAATGTAGCTTTTTTCCACGTAAGAGAAAATGAATAATCATGGCAATAAAAAGAATAAACAAATTGAAAAAAGATGAGCTGTTTCAAATCTGGCCATGATGTAGCTGAAGTTCTTGCTATTATATTTATAGACAAAGTAAAAACCACATCACACAGATAGAAGAATTTCTGATGAAATTACAGAAACCTCATGAGACAGTCTGCTGTGCCATAAAATACTGTACAAAGCTGCCATCCATAACAGAGAAGAAAATCTACAAGCTGAATCAAATTCACTCTAGACTGCTGCTCCTCCCTTTCTCCTTTCCAAAATGATTTAAAATGAAAGACTGACTTCTGGTCACTTGCTAGCTATTTGCACATCATTCTGTTCACTCACCAATTACTATTAGTCCACAACATAGTATCCCAGGATACTGCCATCACCAGCTATCTGTTCCACCCAGAAGGAGCATAAAGCAGAAAAAGCGTCTTGTGGATGAAGATGAGTTTATGCCAAGGCAGCATTTTATACTAAAAAAAAGGGTGAGGCTCTTTTTCTGCTGTAAAGGTGGGAAACTAGAAAAATAGACAGCATCCTACAGCCTGGCGTTTTAGGGGTCAGGTATGGTTCCTACATTAATGAAGATGGAAAAGCTGAACTGGTGCTGTTAACTGACCTGAAAACTCCCATGAATTCACTCCTGAAAACTGCAAGGCACATCAGCTTTGAAAGCTTCTGTTTATTCCTCTAGTTTGGTACATAACCCGGAGTTAGCTTTGTTGCTCAACAAGCATCAGTAATATCCACATGCCTTTATCCATCACTCTCCATGACTTTACACATGCAGACTTTTAAGAGATATTCAACCAAAAGACATGCTCTGCCTTTTTATCCTGTATTTTGTTGTGAACAGGCTGCACAAGTGACTATGTAGAAGGAAGATAGCATCATACTGCAATTGTAATTTGGAACTGACATTTAGCCTGGTGATTGCTTTGGTAACCTGCTTTCTGAAATCCAAGAGTTTACATTTACATGGAGTTTAAAGTAACCAAATTTATGTAATCTAGGAAAGAAATCTACACATTTCAACAGCTTGACTTTGTAACAAAAAGTGGCAAGTTAGAGGCATGCTGCTGTCCAGGTTATTTTCCATGAAAGAGAGCGCTCAAAAGTAGCATTTCTGTTCAGGTTTTTGGGTTTTGGAGGTTTGTTTTGTAGTTGTCAGGGAAGGGAGGGCAAGTGTGGCTACTGATTTTATTATTTTTTATTTTTACTTGCAAGGTTTCAGAACTGTTTCCTCATTTCTATATGCAGCTATTTACCTGAAGTTTACAAACACACCAGTCAGTCCTCTAAACCAAGACTGTCAAACTCCCATAATTTTAACTATAATGAACAATAATGAATTATTGAACACTGTATGACTATTTGCACCACAAAAATGGAAACATGGTTTCTCAAGCAAAAGTAAGTCTGATGCAAAAAGAACCAAATTAGCTGTATGAGCACTAATTCCCATCTCTCTTATTTATTTAGGCTTATATAGGAAAGGAATCCTTGTGCAAACAGGGATATCTTAGTGCCCATTTCACAGTGCAGGACTACAGTGCCTCATCCCCACACAAGG